GGGGTGGGGGGGGAGCTGCCGCTGGGGGGCCGCGGGCCGCAAGGGGCCCATGTACCCCCACGTAGCCCTGGAAATGTTTTACAGCAAGGCTAGTATCGCTCTCCCCGCTTGCAAGGAGGGCACCGGCAGGCCGAGAGCGGGCGATGCACCACCGCGTTACCGTGTGTCCTGGCCAGGGGCGAGCTGGGGGAGGCCATGTCCCGACCTTGCAGCTGGCACCCCAGGGGCCACAGCATCCTGCTCTGGGAACCCATCTCCTGCCTCGGGTCTCCTCCTTCCTAAGCAGTGCTGCTACCTGGCAGGAAAACAGGAAAAAAAGAGTAAAAATACCATTTAATGCACCATTAAAACTATTAGTTTAATCTCTTCCATGATCACACATACCTAACGAACCTTGATCCCACGGTATCATTATGGGACAGTTAAAGATATACGTGCATCCTACCTGCGTGTCTCCATATCATACTTGGATCTATTTTAACTCTGAATTTCCTATTTAGTTCCAATACCATATTGCACATATTTTCTTGCCTTTAAGTTGCTGACATGTCCTCTCAGGTCCTCCTTTTTTTTTTTTTTTCTGTCTGGGAAGCTAGATGAATACATATAGGCTAGTCCTTTCTTCACATCTCATAGCAGGGGCATGCTCTGGAGGTCATAGCCTGAAACTGTGGTCCAACTAACCAACCTCACATGCTCTTCTTGGACGTCAAGAAGAGGTAGTCTGGCCACCGTAACCCTCTCAAAGCCATTACACTAGCAGTCAGGGAACAAGTCGTAATGTGGCACTTGTCCCTGGACTGGATACTCTGCCTGGTCAACTCTTTTCAAGCGATCCACAGCGCCTACCCAGAACCAGCCCCTGGAGCAACCAGCAGGGAGACCTGCTTTTTTGGGCCATCAGCCTTGGCTGCTGGGCCCACAGAGGCTGCTGGCCCCCTCCAGGCCATTCCTCCGTTAATGGCAGTGGCTAAGCTTCACTTCTGTAGCTTTAGGCACACATCCAGATTTCTCAAAGCCATGCAGGCTTACGGATTAGAAAGAGGACAAGTATCATGAGGGATGTATAGAGAGTCTGCACGCCTAGAAGGCTGCGGATGTCTAAGTGCGAGTGCCCAGTTTGCTTAGTGCTGCAAGAAAGGCTATGCATGATCAAAGACAGCCACGTGTGCCACGTGGATTTGCATCCTAGGTTAGGAGACTCAGCTCTCAATGGCATGCATGTGATGAAAAACGGCTGACCAACTAGAGCCGAAGAGGACAAATGGCATCTCTCTTTCCTCCTTAGCGTCTGCTCAAAGCTATTTTTTAAAGAGACTTGCTGTTGGAGGGCGGTGGCAAAAGCAGAGACAGAAGTCTCTGATACCAAAGTGATACATCTACTCTGTAGCGAGGGAAGTATCAACTGCAAGTCAAGAAGGCTCTGGTTACAACCAGGCCAATGAGCAGAAGAGTTCTGCAGGATGAAAACCCACCTATCTAACTTCCAGACTTCAGCACAATCTCCTTTGTAGCCGACCAGACGGTTTCTCTCGGCTGCTGGGCAGCCAGGTCTGCACTAGCCGCCTGGGAGTTGAACCAGATCTCCCTCTGGATGTCTTGGGATGCAATTTATGGCATAGGTACGTTGCCCTTCAAAGGCAGCGTGGGAATTACGTGCCGACGTGCACTGCTGTCGCCAAAGCGTGAAGTTTACTTGCTAGACAGCCTACAAGTGGAGATCGTTTCTGGCATTACCAACAGGCCAGGACTCAGCTCATCTAGCCTGCTGAGGAAAACACCACACAAGTCAGCTCAGGGCACATGCAACAGCAGCAATTACTACAGTCCTTCCTTCCTTGCCTTCTGCCCAAGGCACACAAGGAATGGGGTCATCCAAAATAAAACAGGCACTGGGTATCAAGGCAGGGCTTTGTCATTTCATAGTGATGTTGAACTCAGAGAAGAGACTGGGAGTACACTTTCCCACACCCTCGATTCCTAAGAACAGTGAGAGGGTGTTTGCAGAAAGCAGCTGGAGAACATCTGAACAATCGTTTGCCGCTTGCACAGTGAGCGGCCACCCAGGGCCACGCGCTTCCTCTCAGCCCATTCTCACTTTTGCTGCAAGAGCTAGTGGTGGCACCTGTGGTGGAAGCGTGGAAGTTGAGTTGCAGGAGCTCCCGACTTCATGAACACTTAAACGTTTAAGGATCACTGGGAAACTCTCTCCTCTTCCTGCCCGTGTCTGTACTTCTGTATAAATACACAGAAAAGTCCTGCTAGGTTAGCAGCGTCCAGCAAGACCCAGCTCCCCATAACTGCAGAGCTTGGCCTGTGCAGGCTACCCAATGGGCAAAAGGCATTTCAGGAGAGTTGCACACCATTTCTGCACGCTTTCATACAAATTCAAAGCCTCAATCCTAGGCACGCTCAAGGCATGCACTTTACTTGATGTTGGGGAATTATCAGCAGAACTAACAGGTAACGGGAGCCAAATTTCATTCAAATTTACTGTTTGTTTGGCTGCTCAGATATCAATCAGGCCGTCTCTCAGGCCACCACTATCACATCTGATTTTTTAAGGTGATAAGGGCCTGAGGCAACTTTTGAAAGTGCCAAGAACAAAATGTTCAGAGATACGCATGTCTAGGAAATTAGCTGTGGGAGGAAGGAGCTGGGGAAAGCCGTGCACCAGGACCTAGGAAAGAGCAACTTGCAGGATGGGATTTTGTTAAGAGTTTGTTTTGCTGCCCTTGGGAATTAGTGCAGCAAGAACGCTGGTCTTCTCTGGTGGATTTGGGCATAGCCATCAAATGATGACATCCCAGCTGTATGTGAGGACTCCTTTCTTCTGCGGCTCGGTGAAAGTGCCTAGGGCAGAGAGAGGCATCTCACTACAGTGCAGGAGAAGGGCAGACAACTACTTTGTTTTAGCTCTGAGAGGTAAGGCTGCGTGTAGGTTGGGTGGGGGTAGAGCAAAGTGAGTGTGTGGTGGGGGGGGGGGGGGGGGGGGGGGGGGAAATGAGGACAGTCGCACGGGGCAGTTGATGGTCACATGCGGAAACTTTGAGTAGAGGGAGCGAGGGGAGAGGCAAGCTGGGAGGAGGGAGTCTCACAGGCTGCAGGAGCCAGTGCTAATTATAAGATGACAGAAGTGTGCAAAACGGCCTTCAGTAGTTACTATTCAGGGGCTGCTGCTGCTGCAAACACGTGCAGGGCTGGGCCTCCTCTGGCCCGTATGCCCCAGAGCTGGGAAAGGGCAGCTGCTCCAGTGCTTGGCACCCAGCCTGCATCGCACACAACTGATGAGAGAGGGTGAGAGAGAGGAAAACAAGAATGGCGACCAGAGCCACCGCGGCCCAGGCGGCCCAGCCGTGCATGGCCCATCCTCTCTCGCAGGCCGAAAGCAAGAGGCCTTGGTGGTGTATGGGCACTTCACACCCCTCCATGATTGTCAAAGGGCCTTGAAGAGCAGAGGAGCCACCCTCGAGAATTGCCGCGAGAAGATAAGAAATAAAAAATGAGAAATACCCCCCCCACACCCCAAAATCCGGCCATGGGGCCAGTATTTCTTTCTCTAATATCAATTTGATACTTGTGCAATATTAATTGTGGGGGCACCTGCAGAGCACACCCTTGGCAAAATGACCCAGCTGACTACAGCAGTGTAGACAGAAATGTAAGTGTAAACAGCACGTGTGAACAGAAACCCCCAAACTGTGTGCGAGGGCATTTGCCCAAAACTAATCACGCTGAAGAGGAGGTGGGGATCCCCACCCTGGCTCTGTGCCGTGGTGTCTCCCCGCCAGCGGTGCGGGGGCCGCGTGGGTACACATACTGCTGGAGCACTCTCGTCTCCAGCAGAAGGGGGGCATGAGCAGGGGCATCCGTGCTCCCAGGAGCGGGTGCTGGTAACCCACGCCACTGGGGAGAGAGGGCACCTGCATCCGTGTGGGACGAGAACTTTTGGGGGTTAGTTACAGAAAGAAGTTCATAAATTTGTAGGAGTTTGTTAAGCATCTGATATTGTGGTTTAACTGTTGTATTGCTGCTATTGATCCTGAATGTATAGTTCACTGGTTGCCAGTTAATTACACGTCATTAATAAATCAATAAACCACTTCAAGCCTGATTTGGTTTAACCTACATGAGCTGAGCAGTTTTGCCCTGCCACAATCACCGACTTCAAATTTTGCACCAATCCCGAAAGAAGGCCTATAGGCTCAATCGTTGAAAAAAGACTGATTTCAGATTGAACTGGAGCCTGGGTACAAGACACGGAGGCTGGTTTGATGGACAAGGCAGGGTATGCCTTGTGTTTGATACCCGGGACAAACATCGCTGGCGGACGGTATAGCGTTCCTCCGGCCAAACGCAACCGCTGGCGGTGAAACCTGCCATATTTTAACGCTGTTCTGACAGAAGGAAAGGGCGCTTGCTAAGGCAGCACAAAATCAAACCATTTCACCATAATTTCTCTTCTGGGCTGATGCAGGAAAAGCATGACTAATCTCCTCACTGAAAATTATATGAAAATAACTTCTTGTAGGAAATCCACCCTGTTTTGCTTGGCGCATCTAGAAGCAACCACCACCCCGGGAAGGAGCATTACCGGGGACTAAGTGGGAAGCTGGCAAGAGCGGCACGTTTGCTCCAGCGGGCACCCCACAGCCCTAGTGGGTGGCAGCCACCTTCTTGGCATGCAGTCAATAAAGCAGGCAGCGGCACATGCCCCCGACACAGCCACCAGCTGCAGGACTATGGGGTGAGATAAGAAGCTTTTCAGCTGGAAGGGACTGGCTCAGCTTCATCCCTGGAGTTTATCTGTTGGTCCACACAAAATGGATCAGTTCCCACTGGATATAGCAGCAGTATGCGCTGTTACAGCAGGCTGTGGCTAGTTTTCTGTCTCAATAGCAAGGTCGCAAGGCTTCGCTCCCGACTCGTTCTGCCAGTGGATCGGAAGGGGCTCTCCGACGGCAGGTCGTACGGGGGGATTAGCTTGCTCGCCTGCCCCAGTTACAGCTCTGCTGTCTCCAGGGCCAGCCAATCTGGGACTCCCAGCACTAAACCAAGTTGAAGAACAAGAACTAAACAAACTCTGAAACTATTTTGAGGCCTGCTCTAATAGAGTTTACATTAAAAAAAAATCAGAGTGGAAAAACATGACTATCTTTAGCCATCAGGAGCAAGACTTATCGAAGCAGTCCCACACAGAAGCTGGCAATGGCAATGGGTAAGTTAGGTTTGACTTGTTCCTAAACATCTTCTTTTCATTGTTCGGTCAGGGTCACAGGAGGATGCTAAGTGATTTACAGCGCCCTTCAGAGGCCTTTCTCCTCCTCCTCATGGGAGGTCTTTTCCCACAAATATCTACAATAATTTTAAAGATTATTCAGTGTTATCCACACTGAGGTTCTTACCTCCTGAACATAGATCACCCTACAAACTGGGAGGGCTTGCTGCTCGCTGAGGGTTTCTCGTTGGTCTTTGCTTTGGTTTGGGTTGTCTGGTTCCAGTGCAGTGTCCTGGGATGATCAAAGCTGCTGGATAGCTCAACCCTCATCTGAAACAAAATAATACAATGAATTTAAAAAGCAGACATATTTTGACTGGAGAATCTCTCTTCAGTCCCCCACATCCAGTTATCATCACCAAACACATCACGCAGCCATGACGGGAACTGTCTGTCTTTATTCCCTGGACATAAATTGGGCGCTGTGGTGACCATGCTTGGAGTCAGAAGTTCTCTTTTCTTTAACCCTCCCCGCACAGACCACAGCATGTCACACAGCCCTGTTTCCACTTGAGAAAGGCTCCAAATGAACGAAAGGAGCATATAGTCAAATGGGAACAGAAATGCACCTAGTAGGATTTTCAAAAATGCTGAAGTCTTTCTTACCACAAGCAATAGGAGTTAAGTGCCTAGCATGCTTGGATGACTTGAAAATCCGATTGGGTCTCAATTTGTATTTTTAGATGCTTGCGTACCTTTGAAAATCCGCCTTTGCTTTCCATGGCTCCGCCTTTCTGTGCAGATAGCCAAGGTACCTTTGACAGGGACATCCGTGCATGACCCAAGTCAAAGCCGATCCACTCCACAGAGGCGCAAGGGGAGTTGGGCACTTATCTCCAGATCCATTAGATGTTTCTCAGAAAATATCAATTCTGGCAAAGGGAAGAGAACACCACAAGCAAATCACTCCATCACCTGTCTGATCTAACAAAGGGACAGGCAGAGGAAGACAGCTCATGGTATGATGCTGCTGCTATTTACAGAAGGCAATACCTTTGCTTTTCTGTCATTTAAATACTATCAGTTGTATAACACAAGCCCTTGGGGGGAAAAATCGTGTCAAGACTCCTTTGATTTACGCAAATTGTCATGACAGGACCCCAAGTCAGCTAGAATTCTGAGTTGCATGGTTTTTGTTTTTTGTTTTTTGTTTTTTGTTTTTTTCCCTCCCATAGGAAATATCCCCAAGATACCAAACAGGCTTTTACGTTTAAAAGCTAGGTTTTATGTGAACTGAATGAGGCAAAAGGCAGGAAGACACCACCCCAGCGTCCTCCAAAGGGCTTCCCTCGACCAGGCTCCAGCACCCAACACAGGGCAAACACAAGCCACCTTTTCTGCTCCCAGCCTTTTAAAGGAACATAAATAAAATATGTTACCTAATAACCTGTAAATAAATGAAGCAGATACCACCTGTCACGACTATATTCCTGTGTTTCCACTTTCCACCATAAACCCACTTAGTGCTGACATAAGAGGAAGGGACATGCTCGGACACTGGCAGCCCTGCCCTGGAATCATCTGTGCATTCCCCTAGTTTCTGTTTTGTACGCAGAAGAAAGCCCGGGAATAAATATGCACATGCAAATCTCTTCTACTGCATATTCACGCAGTCCCCAGGCAGTCAGGATGGGAGACTGAACAGAAATTCCCTTTTTCCCCCACCTTTATTTTCTTTTGAAAAAGCAGTTGCTACTGGTAATCACAGACTAGCTACTATCACCTGACGTCCAAAGCACGTCACAGACAAGCGCTAAGCGTCAAAACGGCCTTGGCTAAACAGTCCTATTGCAAACTGCTTTGGTAAATGATAAGCGTGCAAGACCGGCCCTACTTGGAATGCACCAAGGATCCATTTAACCCTGTACGTCTCCTCCTGCCGTGACCAGGGGCAGATATTTAGGGAAGGAGCCCAAGACCAGGGCAAATGTGGGGCGATCGCTGTGACCTCACAGCTTCCCCGCAGCTTTGGGATTTCCCAAGTAAGGAAGTACATTGACAGCTAAGTAAACGGGGCGTAGCTGCAGACCTAATCTGGTCCCGCTCTGGAGGAGCAGTTCGTGCCCGCGTGCGCACCTCGCCCTGGTGCACCTCGCCCCTGGCACTGCAGCCTCTGCGAGCTCGTCTGGGTGAGCCTGCAGCCCTCGCCCTAGGGCAGGCCTCGTGCCCGCAGCCAGCTGGCCTGCGCTCAGCTTTGCCATGGCCACTGCAGCAAGATAGTTTAAAGCTGCACCTGCTCTCGCTACATAAGCCACAGGCTTATGCCCACAGGCGAGCCTTCGGATGGGGTGCACACCAACGAGCAGGCAGTAGGCTTGGGTAGACCCGTGCTGGGGTGTCTCATGAGCGAGGGACCTAGCTACGTATTCTTTTTACCATCGCTTGAGTATCCAAACAGTCATCTAAATGTCAGCAACACCAAAAGATATACATATGTATACAAAGAGCTCTGAATCTTTTGATGCTGAACCCCTTCCTTGTACACCATCTCTCAGCACATGGGAATTACTCTGCATCTCACTTTTCAGGTGAGAAGAGTGACCGAGATGGCCTGCACGGCACCCGTGGCGACTCAGTGACTCAGCCTCCTTCCTTGCTGCACCGTATGAAGATGCTAGCCATGCAAAAAGACACACTCTGCCAGTCGCTTGCGTTAATTTATGAATACTAGCTCACTGAATTACGGCTTGGTTAGCAAGGGCCCTGGTCTGCATTTTATTCAAAACACCATCTGCTACCAGGCTGGTGTGGTAAGATGGGCATCCTGTTAAATCTGATGCCTTTGTAACTGTATCTGACCTAGCGTTACTGATGAGGGCGTATTTCATGACAAAGATGTATATTCATTCTCTGGAAGGACATTTATGAGATGGCAAATGTTTGGGCACGGGGACGGCTTTGTGCGCTCCATTCCTGTGACAAGCAGAGGGACGAATTCCCTGTTATAAGTGGAAAGCAAGCAGTTTTCTCAAAAAGCTTTAAATGTCACCAGTCTCTCAGAAAATGCCCGTGAGGAGGTCTCATGTGACACTGAACACAGTATAGCTGTTTAATATAACTTTTGCTTCCCTTTAGGTCCACTGGGTGCGTACGACTGAGAACAGCTACGTTTATACTGACTTCTGAATTAAGAGTCTAAAGCACTGGACAGACATTGCTATTTCAGTTCTTCTACGTTTGCCTCAGGGATCAAGTTTCCAAGAATCTGCTCAGTCGAAGTTTCCATTTCTGCTACATATTGATAACGAAATGTTATAGGAAAGTCACCCAAATCAGGCACTTGCAATAGACCTGCAAGTCTCTCTTTCTCCTCTCGGCTTCAGAGCACACTGAAGAGGCAGACGCGTACACGCCATTATGGCCCATTGCTCACCGGCCGGGTACTTCAGGCACATAGGAAACTAGTGGCAGAAGAAACAGTAGAAGAGGCATTTTGCTGCCTTGGGTATGGCCTCACGCACGTCACAGATATCAGTGAACTGAATCTGACAACTCCACTTTTCTAACGTAGAAAGTTCCCCCTTTTCATCAGTGGGAGAAACTGTGGGTCCGACCACATGGAGATGTTCCAGAAACCTAATTTGAATGAACCTTTGCAATTTAAATGAACTGTAAAAAACTTAACTACATCAGATTAAAGCCCCATATGGACATTTTAACTGAAAGATGGGTTTCTTCTTTGCAGTTTACTTCACCTCCAAAGCAAATTGAAGAACATTTAAGTTAGCTCACCCTAATTCTTAGTAAAAGTGTCCACTTCGAGGTTTAATGCAGTTAATTCAACAATTTGAAATTCATGTTTTTAGTTCACTCAGCTTTTTTCTGAGCTTTCCTTTGTAAACAAGCCTTTCCAGAGAGAGGAGAAGGGACTTGCTTAAGATCATCTATAAGAAGTGGCAGGAGCAGAAGTCAGGAGCCCAGATACACACAAGCACACATGGAAGCAGCTTTCCTCTCCACTTCCCTTCTATCACTGCCACAGATGGTTTTTGTGGATTGAGCGCTACTATACTCTTTATCTATTCCTATCGCACCCTGTTTTGCAATAGACCTGAACAGCAGAGGGAAGACTGAAGCACAAAGGCAGGTGTTTGCTGCAGTCAAATTGTTCCAGGCATTTTGTTGGATGTGCGTTTTCTACTGAAACTAAGTTTTCTTTTAGTAAACTACCTGACAGATATGCCTCTTTGGGCAAATCCATAGGCATTGCTTTTTTGGTGATGCAGCTTTTGGTCTGTAGCTGCTTTAAAAAAAAAAAGAGGATGAAAAGCACATTCCTTTCCATAGGGCTTATATTATAAAGCCAACATGAATGCAACTTTCTCCTAACCTCAAACACGTCTCTGAACTTATCAGGACTACATCTACGTTCTTGAGCATTTGCAGTGGCTCCATTTGTCTACCTCACCACGTCAGCAATGCAGCTGGAACAGGAACACCAAAGCCTGCAACTTTCAAACACTGAACAAGCTATAATTGTTCCTGAGAAGAGTCCCAACAGCCTGCTGTCTAAGCTACCTCCACTGGGAGCTAAGTCATGACATTTCATAAGACTGCTTCTGAAAGAGGACTCTTGATTTTCGCCACCTACTTTTAGGACTGCCTACCAAGACATACCGACCTTGATGGTTAGGGGCACAGCAGTCAGAGCCAGTGGACGCAGTAATGCTCTGCACTGAGGAAAATCAGGCTCAGATCTGGCACCCTCATTCACGGACCCATCTGACCCAAGCTCACAGGGTCAACAGCAAAGCTCAACACAGACATTAGGTATCCTGAAGCACAGAGCATCTGCAAATTGTGAGGGACAGAGGCAGAGTTTTGTGGACATGATCCTCTTTAGCAACATTCATAGATATCAACCTATCCTACCGCCTCTATTACCAGGATCCCTTGAGCCCAGATCTTTTCTCAGGCTGCCAGTCCTATATCTGGAAAACTACCGAGTGCTAACAAGCCCTGTAGAAACAATGTTGGAGTCATCATTAAACTATGAGGGATGTATGCCCAGTTCTCTACTATAGTGCTCTTACACAAAGCTGAATAAAACATAGGATATTCAACCGAGTCTATGACAAACGCCATTTACCTAATTTTCTCATTTGCCACAGAAGAGATTTGGAATTATTCTTTCCCAGCAAATGAATAAAATCTCATTAGCTTTTCATAATCTTTAGCACATAGGTTGGGAGAAATGGGGCTTTCAGCAACTTTGACTGAAAATGAAATGACTAAAGGATAAAAATAAGAGTGTGAATGGATATGCTATCCTTCTGGAAAAGTTTCCAGCCTGCCTCTACTAGTCTGATTACATGAGGTGTTTAAAAACAGCAAAAAATGACTGAACCAGAAAAGATTTTACCCAGGTACTGGAATGGGCAGTTCAAGTCAGACACTGCGACAAAGGACAAGGGTTGATCTAACATAAATAACCAACTTAACAGTGAAGTCTGTTCTAAACTATCACTTTAAGCCTTGTTTAAGTCATTTTAGATCTCTCTGGTAAGTAAATTTTATGTTGGCTGAGGAGGACTGATATCTGAGAAAGACATAGGGACATATTATATATGACATACATAGGGCATTCCAGGTACATACTTGCATCTGCCACACGACCTAAAGGGCCATCCACTCTCCCCCAAACTATTGCATGTTTCACCACATCATATGCTGTATGGCAGAGTTCAGATAAGTGAGGTGAACAAACTCTGAGCACACAGTTGCAGTATCCTGCAGATTAAAAATCCTAAATTAGAGCAAGATCAGAAGCTGCTCTCATGCTGTCATCAAGCCTAGACTTTGTAATAGAAGCACACCCTTCCTAGCAGTTGCACCAAGGTCATCAGGCTACTACACAGACTGAGCAGCTGCC